CTGTGTTGTTTAAGAAATCCAGGAGAGAGGTCTTTATGGGTAATGCTTTAATATAATAATTAATTATATAAGCTGTCCTTCATAAAGTTCTTAATACATGGTGTGTGCTTTTGCTATAATCTGTACATATGTGTGTATATATAATTTCTCATCCCTTCAGAATATTTAAGGGATTCACAATTTACAGGTAAAGAAACAGATTTCGATATGGGAATGAGCATGCCTAAAATCATTGATGGTAACTTATGGAAGCTCATCTAACTCCAGATCCTTTCTCTCACCCCTTGACCACATTTCTCTACTTCAAGAGATCTGGTGGTAATCACTAAACTGATTAACACTGGTAAGACCAATGTTCCAAAATAGGTGTTTTTTTCAGGCTCATTTAAATATTAAGTATATAGCAATTAATCCAAGGTCACTATATAACTGACTAACACCAGAAACTTGGTGATCAGTTTCAGGGTAGAATTCATACATTCATGGACATAAATGTCATTGTAATATATCTAATTTGATTTTATAAAATGGTCATTTCTCTGGACCTTTTTGACTTCCACAGTGCTTTTCAGATAACCACAGTGTTCTTGTTTTTAAATCTGCAGAATGTCTTCAGTTTGTACTAGGAGGATGGCTTTTGCTCTTGTTGTTGTTGTTATTGTTATTGTTGTTTTATTATTGTTGAGTTGTAAGAGCTCTTCTTATGTTCTGAATATGAGACCATTATCAGATATGTGATTTGGAAATATTTTCTCCCATCCTGTGGACAGTCTTTTCACTGTCTTTCTAATGTCCTTTGATGCATATATTTTTAATTTTGACGAAGTCTGTTTTTGTCTATATTTCATCAGCTGTTTGTGCTTTTGCTGGCATATCTAAGAAACTCATAACTGTTTGAAAATTATGATGATTTACACCTATGATGTCTTCTAAGAGTTGTATAATTTTAGCTTGTATACTTAGATGTATGATGCATTTTGTATTTGTTTTTGTATATGGTGTGAGATTACAGGACAGCTTTATTCTTTTGCATGCCGGTATCCAGTTGTTCCCACACCATATGCTGAGAAGACTGTTCTGTTCACCATTGAATTGTCTTGGCAGTCTTTTGATAGTGAGTTGACCATAGCTGTAAGGGTTTATTTCTATACACTCGGTTCTCTTCTGTTGATCTGCATCTCTACCAGTACCTCACTGTTTTGATTACTTAGCTTTGTAGTGAATTTTGAATTGGGAGAATGTATGATCTATCCTGGGGAATGTCCCATGTGTATTGAGAAGAATGTGTATTTCACCCTCACTGGGCTGACTGTTCTATAGCTGTTAGGTATAATTAGATTGTATTGTTCAAATCTTCTATTTATTTTTTGATCTTTTTTTTAATGTTCTTTTTATTATTGAACTATGATGTTGAAGTTCCCAGCTATTATTGTTGGATTATCTTTTTCTTCTTAAAATTTTGTCAGTTTTTGCCTCATATATTTTGAGTTCTGTTGTTATACACACACACACACACACATATACACACATGCATACATTTTTATAATTACCATCTTGATAGACTGACTCTTCTATCATTATAAGTAAATGTGCTTTTATTCTGGTAACAATTCTTATCTTAAAGTCTATTTTGTCTGATATTAGTGCAGCTCTGGTAGTCCTCTTTTGATTTGTATTTTCATGGTGTATCTTTTTCCATCCTTTATTTTTTTTCAATGTATTTTTTATCTTTGAATCTAAAGTGTATCACTTATAGACAGCAAGTGGTTGGATCTCATAAACATTGATGCCAATTTCTGTTTTTTATTCCATTTAATCCATTTACATTTAGTGTAATTACTAATAAAGTTGGTTTTATATCTGCCATTTTGCTATTTTTTCCCTGTGTCTTATGTCTTTTTTGTACCTTACTATCTCTTTCTGTTGTTAGAGTTTTTAATTGGATCACTTTAACTGCATTGTCATTTTTTTTTTTGTTATTTTTTGTTTGTTTTGTTTTTTAAGATTTTTATTTATTTATTTATTTGACAGAGATCACAAGCAGGCAGAGAGGCAGGCAGAGAGAGAGGAGGAAGCAGGCTCCCCACTGAGCAGAGAACCAGACATGGGGTTCGATCCCAGGACCCTAGAATCAGGACCCAAGTCGAAGGCAGGGGCTTTAACCCACTGAGCCACCCAGGCGCCCCTTCTTGTTTGTTTGTTTGTTTGTTTTTTAAGATTTTATTGATTTATTTTTAGAGAAAGTGCACATGCATGTGTAGGCTGAGAAGGAGCAAAGGGGGAGGGAGAGGGAGAGAGAATCTCAAGCAGAGCCTCATACAGTCTCAGTCTCATAACCCCGAGATCATGACCCAAAATGAAACCAAGAGTCAGATGCTGAGTCAACTGAGCCACCCAGGCCCCTCTCTTTTCTTGTTTCTTATTTTATTAGTCTGCCCTGGAGAGTACAATTTACTTTTTAACTTATGTCAATCTTTTTCAAAATAACACCAACTTAATTTTAACAGTACACAAAAGCTTTGCTCCTCTTTAGCTATGTCCTTACCTGCCCACTTTTGTGTTGTTACTGTCATACAAGTTGCAGCTTCATACATTGTGTGCCCATCAACACAGAATTGTAGTTAGTTCTTCATCCAGTTGTTTTTTAAATCAAACAAGAAAAAAAGAGGAATTACAAAAGAAAAAAGGAATTACAACAAAAACACTATAGTTTAATATTATAGTGTAGTATTTCTTTAAGTAGCTACCTGTATCAGTGTTACTTGTATTTTTTTCATGTGGATTCAAGTTACTTTTTAATGACCTTTCCCTTTACCTTAAGGACTTCTTTTACTATTTTGTATAGAACATATCTGCTATTGATGAATTCTCTGTTTTTATTTCCTGAGAATACATTAATTTTTCTATTTTTGAAAGATAGTTTTGCTGGTTATAGAATTCTTAGTTGACAGTCTTTTGCTTTTAGTACTTGGAATGTGCAATCCCATCATCTTCTGGCCTCCTTGGTCTTTCTTGAGAAATCAGCTTTTGATCTTATTGTGAATCTCTTTCACATGATGAGTGGCTTCTCCCTTGCTGTTTTAAGATCCTCTCTTTGTCTTTCAGCATTTTGGATGATGACGTATGTAGGCATGGGTCTCTTTGAGTTTACCCTACTTGGAATTTTTTGAGCTTCTTGGTAGATTGGTAGATTAAAGTTTTTCATCAAATTTGGGAAGTTTTTAGCCATTATTTTTCTATATAATCTTTTTCTCCTTACTTTCCTCTCCTTCTGGGTACCACATTATGCATACATTCATGTTTGATGGTATCCCACATGTCTCTGAGAACTTGTTTCCTTATCTTTTTGTATTATCTTCCTCATACTGGATATTCTCAATTGATTGGTCTTCAGGTTCACTTATTCTCTCTTCTGCCTAGTTATATCTGTCGTTGAACCTCTCTGGTGATTTTTCCGTTTCACTTTTTGTACTTTACAACTCAAAAATTTCTTTGGATTCCTTGTTATTTTCTATATCTATAGTAATACTCTGTATTTGGTGAGGCATTGTTCTCATACTTCAGTTCTTTAGACAGAGTATCCTTTAGTTTCTTGAATATATTTCAAATAACTTATTTGTCTTTGTCTGGTAAGTCCAGTGTCTCAGCTTCCTCAGGGACAGTTTCTGTTGATTACTTTTTTCTTCTGTGTGAACCATACCTTCATGTTTCTTTGCATATCACCTAATTTCTTTTTAAAACTAGAGATTTAGAGGTTCCTGGGTGGCTCAGTTGGTTAAGTGTCTGCCTTCGGCTCAGGTCATGATTCCAGGGTGCTGGGATCGAGTTCCACATCAGGCTCCCTGCTCAGTGGGGAGTCTGCTTCTCTCTCTCTCTCTCTCTCTCTCTCACTCTCAAATATATAAATAAGATCTAAAATAAAAAATAAAACTAGAGATGTAACTTAATATGCCAACTGTGGAAACGAAATGCTCCTTCTTCCAGTATTTTTGTTTTCCTTTTTTATTTAATGACTTTTCCAAACTAAAATATTGTGATATTTATTATGTGTTGTTACTGAAACGTCTGTTACCTTAGTGGTCAGCTAATGATTGGACAGAGATTTTAATGAATTCCTGGAAACTAAGTCCCTAACATGTTGGAACAAGTCATTAAGACTCAGCCAGTTGATTTACAACTAACTCCTTCCTTGGCTTTGCCTTTCTTTCTTGTGCTGAACCTACAGATCCCTGGAGAGGAGAGCTCAGGACCTTCCCAGGTCTTTCCTGGGCTTCTACATGGTACTCTGCAGACATGTAATCTTCTAGATTGCCAGGAGTGTGTCAGAACTATTCAAAGGGCAAATGGATATCTTGTCCTCCCACTTCTCTTGCTGGCTTTTGATTAGACTGCTGTTTGTTCCACTACCTCAAGCAGCTAAAATCTTATATAATTGCCTCTAATTATTTTCTTTGAATACCCCCCAGGGAAAAGGCATTTTGCACTGGATGAGCTCCAAGTCAGGTCAAATACAATACTCTGGAAATGAGGTTTTGAAGAACATCACCCTTTTCTGCTTCCTCCAGTGGTCCCCAGACTGCTGGTGTCCACTGTGGTTACAGCTGTTGGTTTTCAAGGCTCCCGCAGAGCTGGGAATGGTGGGTTGGAAAGGGACTCATTAAAACATCACAGAGCTCACTGCTTGTACCAAGATTCAGCCAAGTTTTTAGAAATAAATGCTCCTTAGATCTCTGCAAACCTTTTGTTAATTTTCAGACTTTTGAAAATGTTGATTCTGAGAACTTTTCCAGTTTCTTTTGGCTTTTGTAGAGAAAATTTTTGGAGGTTTTTACTCATCATTTTCACTGATGTCACTCTTACATTTTTCTTTGTACCATACCTAGATATATAGTTAAATGTTAGCTGAATTAATAAAGAATTACTAAAAGCAGAGTGTTTTTTTTTTTTTTTCCCCAGAAACTTTTCTGACCTTTTTTTATACTTCTCCTGTTTTATTTTAGGACTATGATGATGGATATGGCACTGCTTATGACGAACAGAGTTATGATTCCTATGATAACAGCTATAGCACCCCTGCCCAAAGGTAAGAGTCGATCTCTGATTAGACCCCCATTAACAGACACTTTTCTCTGTCCACATATGTACATTACATTCTGGGAAACGGGGATGATCAGACAGCAAGAGTACCGTGACTTGACATGCTTTGTTTTTTGTTTGTTTTAATTGGAGAAGCACTCTCTATCCTACCAACTAGCATGATTACTCCTCCCAAATTTGTCATAGTGCTAAAGCAATAGGCTTGAAAAATAAAAATGGAAGTATTTTTTACTCTAAAAATTTAACTTAGGTGTTCGGTATATTCTGAGGAGGAAGAATGTCTACAAAGTCTGTGGCTGTGCAAGTCCTAAGGCTTAAAACCACATCAGCAATGTGTAAATATCCTACATTGTCAGTGCCTGTGGTGGAAAGACCCAGAAGTTTTGTTTGGCATTCACATAACTTTTCTGTTTCTTAGCAGCAGTGATCCTATTTTCTAACAACTTCAGATTCCTATTTGTGAATAATGAGGTAGCTCTAATTCATTTTCTAAAGAGGTATTTACCCAGAAATAAGTAAGTGTTATCTGAGGCAAAACAGAGCTTTATAGTTACCTCTTGTGATATAATATACCTTGATGTTCATTGATATATGAAATCAGTTTATTCCTATTCAGAATGTTTCCTTAAATGCCTAAAAACCTTTTGGTTTTTGTTTAAAATTCTAAGTGGAGTACAAAGATAGACATATATACAAATAATTGGCTTTATGAAGCATGAAAAAATAAGGACTATGTGGTTGTTTTGATGAACTCATGTAGTGCCAGGCAACTTTGAACAGGTTGGTCCTGTTATTCCTGAGCTCTGGCATTGAGGCTGACATGGATAGAAAGTTCTTTCTTCTTTTTGGCTCATGTCAGATTTTTTTCTCATATAACTTATAATAGTTAAGAGCCTTCAGACTTGCAGTCTCAACTGGTCTTTTTGAGTAGGAGTCTGGTGCGCTGTGCTCATGTCCTTGAGAGGGTTGGCACAGCCTGGGGGACTGGCACTGATGGGTGCTAACCAAGACTTTACATATGGTACCTCCTGTTAGTGTCCCAGCAACTGGATCAAGCGTGTGGCCCTGTTCCACTGTAGAGAGGAAGGATTGAGTAATGTGCCAGAAGTCCCGGGTGGAGTGTAAGCCTTTACTCACATGTCTCATTTAATCTGCATGGTAACAGCAGGAGTTACTGTATCTGTTTTACAGATGAGGAAATGAGGGCTCAGAGGAGTCACTGACCAATCCACAACGTGAGCCCAGACTTGGAAAGCGTATCGCCTTTCCACTTTAAGCCGTGATGATGATCATGATGAGGATGGTGACATTATTAATATGGCGGGTCCCAGGCATTCACTGCTTCAGTGGTTCATTCACCCCACATGTATTGAATGTGCACGTGTGTTGGGCTCTGTGCCCAATGCTTGGAATACAAAGATTATTGAGACAGAGACCGTTTCTTTGAAATGCTCACAGTCTAGAAGGAAACAACAACAACGACAAAATACTCAAGAGCAGTGTAATGTGACTGTCATTATGGGAGGTCTGAGGGGAAATTCAGTATTTCCGGAAGTAGGCAGCGCTAAAGTCTGCTTGAGAACACTGAGGACATTTCACTGCGAAAGGCGAAGTGGAAGGGAGAGTCACTGGGCTACTAGCAGCGAAGGGCATTTCACAGAGCTGGAATAGCAGGGCCGGGGCTTGGCGGGGGAAGTGGTATCTGGAGCTGCACTTGATCTGCAGGGAGGCGATGAGGTAGGAGCCCGCGACTCCCTGCAGGGTGGTGGGGCTCCCCGCTGCAGGCGGCAAGCAGTGGGGAGCCCGTAGAGTTACACGCTGGGACGGTGCTTTTCGACTTAGAGTCAGTGTCATTCCATGGCAGCGGAGGGGCTGGACTGACAGGTGGTGAGCCTAGCGGCAGAGACCAATTAAGAGGCTGGTGCATTATAAGGCCTTTCAGTGTCATGGAAGACTCACTTAAAGAGACATCTTGCTTGACAGCCAGTCTGCCTTCTTTGAAGTGATCTTTTCAGTGTTGCACCTCATCACACCTGAAGGAAGACAGAGAATTGTATGCGAATTGCCCACACTGACAAATGTAGAAGCCACTCTTTGTTAGGTAATCTGAGTATTCATTTAATCCTCATGACCTGTGACATAGACATGAGCCCTTTTATAGAAGAAGGAGACTGTGATTTCCAGGAACGAGGGGACTTGCCTGGGATCACACAGCTTACAAGCAGAGGAGCAGGCTTTGCACCGAGGTCCGTGGCCACACGCGTCCTCCCCACAGCATCGCAGGCCCGACAGGATAGCTCCGTCCGATAAACCCAAGGGAAGCAGCTGTACTGTGGGGTGGGATGGAAAGATGGTTTCATGGACTGTAGGAGTTTGTAGGAGTGTGTAGGAGTCACCGTAATAAATTTCCACACTCCAGACGGCTTAAGCAACAGAATTTTATTTCCTTATGGTTAGAGAGGCTGGAAGTCCAAGGTCTGGGTGTTGGGGGATTTGGTGTTTCCTGAGGCTTCTTCCTTCAGCTCGCAGATGGCCACCTCCTCGCTGTGGCCTTGCACGGTCCTTCCCTGTGCACATGCATCCCTGTTGTGTCCGTGTGCATCCGCATTTCTTCTCTTCTGATGGTACCGGTCACACTGGATTAGGACCCACAAAGGGCCTCATTTTAACTGAATCACCTCTTCGAGGGCCTTGTCTCTGACTCCAGTGTCATTCGGAGGTACTGGGCTGGGGGCTTCAGCATGTGCTTCGGGCGGGGGACATGGTCCGGCCCATAACAGGCACATATGGCGACAGTGCTTTAAGCACAACAGTCTGTGTGTCAGAATTAGAATAGCGAACTTTCAGACTCTCCCCAGGATCAGGTAGTGAGTATTAACAAGGAAATCACCATCACCACTGTCTTCAGCTGGTGAGCCTTTCCTCTGCACCTGGTCCTGTCCATCCTCTCTCCCCTCTCAGCACGCCCTAAAATATTGCTCATACCACTCACGTCATCCCCTCCCATACAGGTTCAGAGAGGTGAGGTGACTCACCCACACACTCAGAAGCCCAAGCTGTGGTCCAGACCCAGCTTGGCCCCACAGCATCCTCTTTGTCCTGTGTCCCCTTGCCTCCATTCTCCCCTTGTCATGGCTTTGATTTCAGCGGGAGGAATTCCTATTAGTATTTCCCATATACAGTATTCAGTAATCGAATACTTCATGGGACTTTAGAATCCCATAGCAATCAGGCCTCCATCTGAGCTGGAGGTGTTTCCTTATCAGACTTGGACTACCTTAATCACACCTAAAATTCCATTTATGCTGTAATTAATGTTGTACGCCAGGACTCATGAAATGAAGGTTCTTACTTTTCCAGTTTTACATTCGATCCTTTCAGCAAGTAGCATTCAGTGCCACCGCTCTCAGGGAGCACACAGCCTTAATGTTCACTAACAGGCGACACCGGCTAACACCCGATGACCTGTAGTCTGCTGTTCCTTGGATTTGACTCTTCAGGGTCTGTAAGATTAATTTTGTACTTCAATAATTCTCTCAATCAGAATTTGAAAGCCCCTTCTGTGCCGTAGTTGTAATGTTCGGTATGACTCAGAATTCTTCACCTGATCTGCTTTGAGATGACAGAGCTGTTCTGAAATGTTCTTTGGCACATCATGGTGTGGAAGAAAGCATGAGCAGAGGTTCGCCTGCACGGTCCACCACGGTGGCCACTAGCTCATGTGGCTGGCGTACCTTGAAATGTGGCTGGTGCGGATGGGGGTGTGCTAGAAATGTAGGACATACGCCAGAGTCCTAAACTTAGCATGAAATAAAGAATATAAAATGAATGTATTACTAAAATTTATTTTACCTGTTTCCTCCTCCTCCCCCCTCCTTCCTCCTCCTTCCTCTTCCTTTTCCTCTTCCTCTTCCTCTTCTTTCTAATGTGGCTACTAGAGAGCTTTAAATTACAAATTTCTCTTGAATAATGCAGAGTTAAAGACTGGCTCGCTCTGTCTCTCAGGCACACGGTACAGCATCTCCAGATTAGGGCCTACACCCTTCCGGGAAGCAAGTCAGCTCACCAAGTGCAGAAAGAGAATTAGGGAGGGTCAACTCATATTCATACTTTCAAAATTTCTATTTTGATGTTTCGTGTTATGTGTAAATATAACTGTTTAATACTCTAGTGCACATGTTACACAAAAACAGTTACAGTTATAAGAACGAAAGTGGTTTTCTTTCTGATAACAGATGTGTTATCAAAAACTTCTGGAGATCTGGGCCATAGTGGTTAGAGTCTGGCTGACCTGTAGTTAGACCCCACTTCAGTATTTGCTGGCTCTGTGGCTTTGGGCAAGTTACTTGACCTCTCTAAGCATCAGCTTGTAGAAGGGATAGCTCTGTTTCTTCTGTAGATGGTCAGCCTGCAAGCTGAATGAGACAGGAAAGCCTACAGTCTGTGGGAATTGTTGGGGGGTAGGGAGAAATCATGTCATTCACAGTGTCTTTTCTGTGAGAGAATTAATGAGGTAATCTGTGTACGGCAGTTAGGGCACGGTGTAAGGCAGTTAGCACATTGCGCTGAGTAAATCCTGGTTGCTGTCCTCCTTTCCCAGTTCTAAATTTTTCTGCATCTCATTTCACATAGGGAAGGTACTAGACAATCTGGAAGGATTGTGTGAGTCAAAGATTTATAGGGAAAATGAGAAAAGAGAGAGGGGACCTTTTGGAGGGCTCCTTCCCCCTGGGATGGTCAGTATCAGTATTTAACATAAACTGGGATTAGCTAGAACTGAGCAGCTAGAACCCACTTGAAAAGAAAATAGAGCAAGACAGCAGGCTCATATGGGTGGCCACTGGGTATTTTTATCTGCTGTGCAGAAGGGTCCCTTTCACTAATGACGTTTAAACTTCATAAGCTGTAATCATTTTATGACACCATTTTGCTGTAGAAACAACAGTTTCTCTCAGGAGGTTTTACAAACTAGGAATTATTTTCTCC